TTTCAGTTAGTTTGCGTACACTGAAGACACACTTAAAAGAAGCTGGACTGTTCAGACGACCCAACTTCCGGTTCATTTCCGGACTTTCCGGATTTCGGTGTAACAATTAACATATACCGAATCGAACCGAAAACCGTGACCACGAAACCGTCAATCGAACCGAACCGTAGATTTTGTAAACCGTTCCGCCCCTAATAGGAAGCTATAAAGTACATACCATAGATGTAAGCAGCTAATCGTTACCAAGATGTTCTTTTAGAAGGTGCCCAAAATGCAGGAAGATTAAAACTTTAGAGTGTAAGAGTTTTTCGTTTCTGATGTATAACTATTTTTTTAACTATGTATTAGCCAACTCTAATACAACAGGGGAAACAACTTAAGATCAACTTCCTTTATCCTTTAGAATGGAGGTCTTCAACAGTTTTGGTTGATTAGACTTTTTTTTATTTCCACCTACAATTTTTTCCACTAATTGAAATATCTTTAAATACACATTAACATGAATTCAACACACTGTAGTGAACAGATAAATGGAGGCAGAAGATGTCTTTTCGTCATCAATGCACACATTCAGCGACACACAGGAGCTCTTTCAAGCGGGGCACTGTTTCATTCACAACACCTGTCCCATCAACCAGGAATCAGAATCAGAAATACTATAATAATACCAGGAAGAAATTACTTTCGTTACATGACTCTATCTGTAATAGAGTGACTATAGGACCAGTTTGATATAACACAATTTCAAACAATATTCATAATTATCGGGTCTGTGCCTCATCTCGCCATAAGTTTGGGGGTCCTTGGCCTGGAATACGTTGAAGACCTCTGCTTTAGAATAAGCATTTTAAACATAAATACATTTTCAAGCTTCAAGAAATCTCACTTCACAGTAAAGTGATGGTCATGAGGTCTGGGTAATGACAGAAAGGACAGGATCGCAAATACATGCGGCCATAATGAGTTTCCTTCACAGGGTGGCTGGGCGCACCCTTCGAGGTGTGGGTGGATCAAAAAGTCTGGGCATCTCTGCTTAGACTGCTGCCTTCCGGATAAAGCGGGGGAAAAAATGGACTTCACAGTAAAGCATCTCAATAATAACTCAGTATTTGGATGGTTTTCCTCCTTTATTTTGATGACACATATATAACAGTGACATTTTAACATTGGAAAATCTTGCACCAGATCACCCTCTGAAACATGCTTCTCCCCATAATGCTGTGTTTCTAATTTTTTTATATTATTTTAGGATTTCTTCATATCAAATCTCATTTTTCCTCCTGCAGTGCTGTGCCTGAAGACGGAGACCTGCTGTTTGAATCCTTGCTGGAAATCATGCTTGCCTTCCTGCTGCCTGCGATACTAGCCGTCCACGCTATGGGTGGGTATTCCTACTGCTCTTCTCCCTTCATTACCACGGCAGAAATTACTGCTCTCTGTCTCCAAGCTGTGAGCTTGCTTTTTTTTTCTTTTCTTTTTCCAACAAAGTCCTCATTAACTAAAAGAGGGCACTCCCAAATATAAAATGCCCATTGTCTGAAGGCCATAAAAACCCTGGTTTGAAATCTTTCCCTCTACCCAGTCAAGCCTAAAGAGAATATCTTTCTTTTTATACAGATGTTCTGGCTGTAAAAGCGGTTAAATTTCCAAGTCCTTTGATTTGTGTTTTAAACATTTGATATAAATGTTTTTTTTTCTGATTTTATTTTTAATTTAGCTCTTAAAATACAAAAGCTTTGACCTTTTCAGCGAGCTGCAGTAGGGAGAGCTTGATGTCCCAGATGAAAAATGCTAGAAGTGCAGTTTTTCTGTTATGACTCAGGAAGTGCTGTGAGGAAGTTCTCATATTTCAAATGCAATAGAAGTGGTGTGGTGGCAGCTTATGTTGCAACTGAGAATTCATTCTTACACACACAAAGATTTTATTTCAGGATAGGAACTTGTCTCTCCATTAAAAGGGAAAATAAATAGCCTGGATTGGTTTGATAGCATCTCTCGAAACAGTAAATAAAAGAAGGGGATTGAGCATGGCACCACTGGGATAAGGAGGATTTTTCCCTGCTGGTCTGTGGCTCACACACATCATGCTTTTGAAAACATACAAAGTCCATTGGCAAAGTTTTATCTTCTAAATTCATGTGTTTTTTTCTTTTCTTATTTTTTCTCTGGTTGGATTGGCACAAACTCCTTTTGGCCATCAGCTGCACATTTCAGTCCTGAATCAGTGGACCTAAGTGTCTTCAGTGGTTCATTAGGGACCTATTCTCTCCCAGCGCAAATGGGCTTGCAGCTTGCTCATTACTTGCTGCCTGGCATTCAGTTCCTAACTCCCATTCTCCTCACCGGGGGGGATGATGGGGAGGAGGTGTCGTGGACTGATGGAGCTCTTTAACTCTCAGGTAATGGGCTATTGTAGCTCACACAATGATTCACTTTCTCGCTGCTAACTGGAGCACTAAGTGAATTAGGTGAAGTCAGATTTGATACTATAGTCTTCTCCTGTAACATTGTACAATCAGACAAAAGGTACAAGTATAGTGAACCTTGTTCTTCTTATTAGAAGCTGACAAGATACTCTACCACACATGGCAAAACAACACACAGACCTTCCTTTGTTTTGATAGCTAACATTTAAATCCTCTGTTACAACAATAATGACTAATATGACGATTGACAGGTGAATAAATGGTGGATAACACTGATAATTGTTATAATATGAAACCGTTTTTGTGGGTGGGATGTATTATGTAAGCAAAGTTTGAAAAGAGCAGAATTGTTTTGACTAGATGATCTCTTTCAAAGCATCTTTAAAGGCCTGAAAACACTAAAACTGATGGAAAATCGGATCGTATGAAGTTTTAGCAACTGGCTCTTACTGAAATACATGGGACTGGCCAGACCACACGTCGTTCTTTGCAGTTGTGCCTGACCAAGGTAGATCCCTGGTCTAGTTTGGTTGGATTTTTGCAGTAGTTTGATGGGAATGTCATGAGTCAGAGTGAGAGAGAAATGGTGAAAAATAAAAAATGGAGAAAAGTGGGAAAAATACAAAGTAAAATCCTTGAATCTAAAGGTAAGCCGGAAAGTTAGTCCCCATATAGGTTCATCTGGAAACACTACGTATATAAATGGATAAAATATTTCAATAAATAGAGTATTTTGCCCATGATAGGACCTCAGGAGTATAGAAAACATACATTGAAATAGGGATCTTCTTATAGTAGAAAAATAGGGGACAAAAAGGATGGTTATCAGGGACAGTGTTCTTCACATCTGATAAACAGCTGCACTGATCTGTGGTAATAACTGCTCTGCTCTCTTTACATTTAAGAAAAGCACCTGTTTTTTTACTTTTCCTAATCTGACTCAGTTTTTGGGACACTGGGACAGAAGTAAAAAATGTGGCACAGCCCTGCACAAATCAGGATATTTTGTCAACCCCTGCAGAGTAAAAAACATTTTTGCAGCCAGTACGGCATAACAACAAAAATCTAATTGCAGCTTGTAGAGCCGGATGCAAGCAATGTGTCCCGTCCTCAAGAACACAGCTTGTGAGAGTTTCTCCCAGTCTGCAGAGTCTTAAATTCTCCATCAAAGTAACCTAAGAAAGCAGCAAACCAGTTGTTTCATGGGCAACCAAGGCCCATTTTTCAACCTTTGTCATGAAACCATTATGAAATTTTGTTGAGAAGCACAGATTAGAATGCCTACATAAAATGCAGACAGAAATAACAAGCATTAATAGAAAAAATAAGCATCCTTAGAGGACGCCCGTATGCAATATGAAACACTTTAAGCAGAAAAGCATAAAATATTAAACATCCTTTGAGAAATTAGAAGAATAATTTGTTAGATGCAGAGTTAGAATACTTGTTATGGATGTAAAGCATCATTGAAAGAAAAATACATATATGGAAATGTAGTATGTATTGTTTACATAAAGTGTAGCTTGTGCAAGATCAGTCCGTGAAATGGACTTGAGGTCTATTTTATTGTCAGTAGGGATGTTTGTGAGATACTGAGGAGAGGAGGTTTGCAGATGGGGATCAATGATTTCTAGTCTGATTGGATTAAACAGATCAGTAAATGGAGTTTAAGTGGCCAAATATATTAAGGCTGATTGTGAGATAAAGGTTCTGATTGTAGACCTTTTAGTAATAGTAATATTAGTAATATTAACCCAAACCTGGTAAAGGTAAAGGTTTGGGCAATGTTCTGCTGCAAATCTTGATCTATTGGATATCAAATTCACATCTGATTGTACAATTAACTAACTAAGCATTTTTGCACATTCCTTCATGGAACCCAAATATCTTGATCATAGTAGCATCTTTCAACAGTAAAATGCACACTGCCACAAAAAGCTAAAACACAAGAAAAATGAGGAATGTCTTTAGAAGTACAGCAGACGTTAGATGATTTGTCTTGAACTCCTGATTTTCATTTTTGCTCTAGAACTCCTGGAGAGAGCCTGAAACCACAAGAACTTCTGTTCTCGTGAAAACCGTTTCCACACTGTTGCCAAATTAGAGACATTTTTCTGTATCTATCATATTATTATTTATTGAATTAACTTTAATGTTAAGGGTTTATGCAAATACTGCACTAGAAGAGATCCCTTACTGCATTTGTTTAATACACAGCTTTAGTCACATATTCACCTCATCCAATGTGCGCCCCTCTTCTGTCTGCCTTTAGTTTTCATTTAATAGAATAACAAAATAGATTTTTTCCCCCTCTCCTAGAGGCTAGATCAAAGTATTACTAACTACTAAAGTACTCAGAGAGCACAGACCCAAATTCTGACTTACACCTATAGCTAAAACTCACACATGACCTGAATCTTTACCTAATTTAAGTGCATTCTTCCTTGGCATGAGGGACACCTCGGTCAAAAAATCCTTAATATTTGTTTATAAGTTTTCAATTGATCCTCCTAGCAAACCAACAAAGTTCCATTTTCTTGTGTTTTTGTCTTCAGTAACATACCTTTGGATTTTTGAGTCTGATCCTACGGCTGTCAATGGTCACTGCTGCCACCTTCTGGTTTAGTTTGGAACTGCTTGTTCCACCAACGCTGACAATGTTTCAAAGAAAATCCTATATCCAGAATTTGATAAGTGTCATCACCAACATTTAATTGATTGTTCCTTGGCACGAGGGACTGCTCTGATAAACATTTCTTTAGAATCCATCCATAACTTTTTAAGTTATCCTGTACACAGACAGACAAACACACATTAAAAACTATCATAAAAACTCTTATCTCCTTGTTAGAGGTAACTATGCAAATTAGGCGATGAATGTCATAAAGTAAATTTCACTTTCAGAATATAAAAACTGAATTTTAAACACAGCATAATACATTTTTAAAGAATATTAATTTATTTTTGGTCCATTCATTTGACACATTTGTTTTCTAACCAATAAATTTAATTTTAAATTACAATAATTAATTGATTAAGTCTTAGCAATTCAAATTCTAATGGGCCAAGTCTCTGTCCATTTAAAATCTTGAGCCAAATGCATACATAGAGGTTTAGGATGATACCAGTAACCATTGGGAATGTCCTTCTGTTTAACATGAAGCCCTATTAAACTTGTAAGACATCTTATCAAAATAATTCGGTATGATATCCTGGTACAAAGTAATGACATCATGATTAACCTTTATATTAGGGCTGCAACTAACAAATATTTTGCAAATCTATTAATCTTTTGATAATTTTTTTTGTTTAATCGATTAATAATCGGATAGCAAAAGGTTCCTTAAAGAAGATTGTTTATTAAATCAAACCAGGAGGAACTAAACATTTTCCACTTGAGGAGTTCTGGATAGAACATAATGACAGATGAAAATGTGTTTTATCCTAAAGACAAAATGTTTATATATATTTTTTTAACATTTTATGTATAATTACTGCTCTAAGTGGGTTTCTCTTTCAGCTAACGACACGTTTCAGTCTCTATACTCCATGTAACGATGAATTGATTACTAAATTAGTTGAGGATTATTTCAATAATCAATTAATCACGATTAATCCTATTAATTGTTTCAGCCCTACTTTATATTTTCAACATGCTTGGAATCAAGCATGTTGTGTTCAAAATACAAATTTACAGACTGAGTTTGGAAACCGCAATTAATTTCTCACAGCCAAAAACCACTCGAGTACTTACATCACACAAAGGCGTCCCAGTGATGGCTTGTTGTTTTTATTTTAAACTAATTTAAAAAATAGGGACACACTCAATTTTGTTATTTACCTTTTGGCCCTTTTGACGTTAAAATCCTTAAGTGAGTTTTTGTCAAACATCTCAGTAATTATGTCACCAAAATCGACAAGGTGTCATTTTGTCACAGTAACAACTGAGCCACGA